AGGAACCCTGTCTGGGTCGTATGGGAGTCCTATGAAACCCTGTAGGGGTCCTATGGGAGTCCCATGGAACCCTGTAGGGGTCCTATAGGAGTCCAATGGAACCCTACACGGGTCCTATGGGAATCCGATGGAACCCTGTAGGGGTCCTATGGGGGTCCGATCCAACCCTGTGCGGCTCCTACAAAAGTCCAATGGAACCCTGTACGGGTCCTATAGGAATCCTATGGAACCGTGTAGGGGTCCTATAGGAATCCTATGGAACCCTGTAGGGGTCCTGTGGGAGCCCTATAGAACCCTGTACGGGTCCCTGTACGCCCCGCGGGGGGGCGCGCGGGGAGAGCGTTGCGTTGCGTTGCGCTGCGTTGCGCGGGGGGGGGGGGGGGGGGGGGGCGGTCCGCCAGCTAGTGGTTTCGTCAACAACAACAACAACAACAACGAAAACGGCTCCCGCCTGATACTTCCTCGCAATGTATTGCAAAACTGTGCTCTCGCGCGGGACTTCTTCACGATGTATGCAGGCCTCGCACTCTCGCGTGGGACTTCCTCGCAACTGATTCATACGCCGCGCCGTCGACACTCGAGAATCACGCTCTCGTTCTTGCCATTCTCACGATTCGTTGGGAATTGCGCAGCCGCGGTCCATGCAGGACTCACGCTTCAGAAACCCGCCTTCTCGACAGGGCCGCCTGGGCCCGCCTTCCCGAACCGCCCGCTAGGATCTGCCTGCCCGATCTGCCCGGCTGCTCTCCTCCTGCTAATGTCTCTTGTGTTCCGTCCTTTCCCCTCCCCCTTCCACCCGTGGTCTCATATCCTGTTCAGGGGGCTGCGCTAAGTGCCACGTGGCAGTTAAGGAAGATATGCCCCCGAGGGGGTACGATCGAAGCCACAGAGGGCGGGTACCGAGGATTTGGGATAGACGTGTTGAGTGGCACGCTTGCAGATAGAAGCGAACAGTCTTAACATGATTAGTCTTAGGATCTAACCACCCGATCTGCCCGTCTGGTTCTGCCACGTGCTTTCTGCTCCTAGGCCCCCTCCTGCTACTCTCTCTCTCGTGCTCCATCCCCCTCCCTCCCCTTAATCCCTTTCTTCCATCCGTCCTCTCCTCCCCTGCCGTAGGAACTGCATGAACCAAGCGTTGCAAGTAACAAAGACATACCCTCAAGGGGGTACGATCGAAGACGAAGAGGGCGGGTATCGAGGATTCGGGATATACGTGTTGAAAGGCACGCACACAAACAAGAGCGACACACATTGACATGGTTATTGTGTTGTTGGACTCACTTCTAAAGGACAACTGTTGTTGATGCTCCCTGTCCGGTAAGCGTTGCAATTTTTAATTCGAGTGCTTCTCTGGGGGCTCGCACTCTGTTTCTTAAAAGGGGAAGCGGGGTGTCACTAAACTGCGCCCCCAGTCCCCGGTTTACAACAACAGCTGATCCCGCCTGATACTTCCTCGCAATGTATTCGCAAATCTCCATCTCACGCGGGAGATCTTCACGATGTATGAAGGAATCGCGCTCTCGCGTGGGACGCCCTCGCAATTTATTCAGGCGCCGCGCCCTCGACACTTAGGAATCACGCGTTCGCTGTGGATGTCCTGGCGATTCATCAGGGAATCGCGCTTTCTTTCGAGATATCCTTGCTTTTCATGCAATAATGGCGCTTCAGCAACCCCCCTTCTCCACAGGGCCGCCTGGGCCCACCGCCTTCCCGAACCGCCTGCTGGGACCTGGCCGCCCGATCTGCCCGTCTGGTTCTGCCATGTGTTTTCTGCTCCGACCACACCTCCTGCTACTCCCTCTCGTGCTCCATCCTCCTCCCTCCCCCTTGTCCCTTCGTTCCATCCGTCATCGCTTCCCCTATCTTACGGGCTGCACGAAATACACGCTGCAGGTAAGAAAACCTGCACCCCAAGGGGGTTACGATCGAAGACGGAGAGGGCGGGTATCGAGGGTTTGATATACGTGTCGCATGGGTTGGTGGTGGTGTTGGTGTTGTTTTTTTTGTTGAAGTGTCGCTCTTGAAAATCATTACTGTTGATCCCCCCATCCACCGGTGTACATGTTTTTTCTATTGAAGTGCCCCCCTCGGGGCTCGTACTCTATTTTCAATGGGGGGAAATTTTCCGCTCAAGCTGATCTCCGGGCCCCCCCGCTACAACGACAACGGATCTCGCCTGATACCCCCTCACAATCGATTCCGAAATCGCGGTCGCGCGTGGGACCTCTGCACGACGTGCGCAGGAAGCGCGCTCTAGCGTGAGACTTCCTTGCCCTCGACATTCAGGAATCACGCTCTCGCTTTGGTTGTTCAAATGATTTACTCGGGAATCGCGCTATTGCTCGAGACTCCTGGCGAGTCAGAAAGGACGGACGCTTCAGCAACCCGCATGCTCGACCTGGCCGCCTGGGCATGCCTTCCCGACCCGCCCGCTAGGGTCCGCCCGCCCGATCTGCCCGTCTGGTTCTACCACATGTTCTCTGCTCCTAGCACCCCTCCTGCTAATTCTCGTGCTCCATCCTTCTCCGTCCCCCTTCCATCAGTCCAATCCAATCTTCCCCTGTTTTAAAGGCTGCGTTAAGTGCATCTGGTCTAGAATATACACGCCCGAGGGGGCACGATCGAAGACGAAGAGGGCGGGTACCAAGGGATTGGGATGCACTATCGAATGGCACGGGAGCAGATAGGAGCGAACAGTCTTAAGATAATAATTGTAGTTATTGTCGTCGTCCCACTCGCGATCCAGCCCGCCACCCGTCCGCGACCCGCCGACGACCCATCCGCGACCAGCCCGCGACCCACCCGCGACCCACCCCACGCCCGCCCCCCCACTCTTGTCCGCAACTGCGGGGTGCTCCATATACATACACATTGATAGCGTCGGCGTGTGGCTCGAACTTCTGCTTCTGGCCACCCGGCACTGCAGCGCACAGCCTCCCAGCGTGGGGCGGGGCTCAGCTGGCCCCCTCACTCGCGCGCCGTCGCGTGGCAAATTTCAGCCCGGGTGCTAGTCTCTAGCATATGCGGCTGCAAACAACCTGTGCAGTCAGCCCGTATAAGAAGGACCCACGATGAGGATGCAAGGGGCTTGGGAGGCCATGTCGGCACTTTGCGAGCGGGGCGCGGCCGGCGAACGCGGCCAAGGATGGGCCGAAGAGAAAGGATGCAAAGCCAACCTTAGAACATTGCTCATCCTTGCTATGCGGGTTGACTACAAGAGTCCGGCTGGGATGACAGTCACCTTGACGTCCCAACGTGTGTCAACTCGTGAACTGAATCGTGAGTCCTCCAGTGCTTATCACCCAGAGGGTGGTCTGTGCGGCATCTGAGCGTCGAGGACCGCAACTGCGGGATCCCTCTTCGTGAGCGTCCTCTTCTGGGACGCTCCTCCTGGGGGCCTCCTCGGTGAGGGGCTTTCTCGTGCGTCGGGCCCGTCGTGGGGGGTAGGGGGTGGGGGCTGACCCCTTTTTTTACAGACGGCGCGGCAAAAGGCACTCCGCTCGCGCGTTCTATCTAGTAACTGGTCGGCGATTCCGAAGGGTGTGGTTTGCAACTGGCACCCCGGGGGGCACCCTGGGGGGCGGGCGGGGACCTCGATAGAGCCCTCCGCCGCGCCCCGGGGAGGCGCAACGAGAGCAGTGTCATGCTCCCCAGGCCCCAGCGTTGCCAATTGCAGGCCGCGCCCTGGCGTAACCATACCCTTTGTAGGTGCCTGTTTTTCTTTGGATTCGGGCAAGTTTACTTGCATGGACGGGGGGGGGGGCTGAGTCTGAAGCAAGCCGAAAACCATTTGACGTGCGGAGATCACGCAAGTCGAGAGGCGCTTGCACGCTCGTGTTCGCTTGAAGAGGGGCGAGGGGGGGAGAGGGGGGGGCGAACGCCATGCAAGTAAGCTTTCCTGGATCTAAAGAAAAACAGGCTCTTTGCAGTCGCCGAGCTGGGGCAGAGCGTACTGATCCAACTGTGCGGCGGCAAGGGAAAGAGGCAGGGCAGAGGGCGGCCGCGGAGCCGGAGGCAAAAGGGGGGGAGGGCACCCACAGCACGCCGGCCTCCAGAAGGAGTGGCGCCGGTGCGGCCGGCCGTGGGGCCCGTCCAGAGGCGATGTTAAAGGGGCCCCAGGACACACAAATGAATACACGCAAATAAAAGGATTCCCCATATTTTCCCATATTTTTGTCTTTGAGTTTTTGTCTTCCCCCCCATTTCCCATATATTCCCCATAAATTCCCCATAGTTTCTGAGTTTTTGTCTCCCCCCCACTTCCCATATTTTCCCATATTTTCCTGGGGGATCGACGAATCATTGTGTCTGTGTGTATTTTCCCTCCTGATATGCGGGGTCCGAGTAGGCGGGTCGGAGGATCGCACTGCATCGGCGATGCATCGTCGATGTGTGGGCGATGCTTTGGCGACGTCAACGTGAAGGAAATCGGGCTCCACATCGAGCCGCATCGCCGATGCATCGGCGATGCGGCGGCCATCCTCGGACCCCATCTGGGAGGCCCAGACTTCGGTCAGGCATGTCCCCATACAAGGGGTTTTGGGCGAAAAATGAAGAATACCCCGCAAATGCTTCCAAATGGCAGAAAATGCTCAAACACCGTCCCAAAACTATTTTCGTGACAATTTCTTAATACTTATTTTTCCTGTAGAGGGACAGGCCCGACTCAGGCCTAGACTTCGGCATGAGTGGCCAGTGCGGCAAAGGCCGTTGGGTCTGACCCGCCAAGGCCGGGGCCCCAGAAATGAAGGGGCCCTGGGACACGCAAATACATAGACACGAATAACAGGATTCCTCATGTTTTCCCAGAATTTTTTGGGGGGTGTGTGTCGTCCCCCCCACTCCCCATATTGGAGAGGCCTGACGGCCGGTGCCGCCGACCCTGATCGAAAGGGCTAGGAGGGGGGGGGAGGAAGCGGAGGAGGAGGAGAAGGACTCTTTGACTCTTTCTGGGCTGCGTGCCGGAACCCGGCAGCCCAAGCGGACACAGCATGATACTATGGAGCGCAAGCAATGAGCGTATCAGCCAAGGCGAGCCGCGGCCTGATACGGCGCGGAACCCTCTGGGCTTCATCAATGCCCAAATCTGGCATCCCACAGGCGGCAAGCCTTTCCGCCATGTGTTCAATGTGACTGCAAAGCGAACTACATGCGGCGAGCTCCGCGCTAGAGCTCGTGGCGCTGCCCACGCCGAATCCGTAGACCATCCAAGGGTACATATTCGTGCCGATCTTCACCCATAGAGCCCATGCTGCCCCGGCTTTGCCTTCCCGCCGCCCGCCGTCGAACCTGGCCACGACGTTTGCCTCCGCATGCCCCCTTAATAGCTCCCACGGCACGAGGTTGATTGCAGCAATCTCGCACTGTCGCTCCAATGCGGCTGTTGCGGTGGCGTCGCAATCCTTGTTGTACTCGCGGTAGATGTGCCGAGCCCAGTCTGCCCCGTCCGTTGCGACATTCACTCTGCCCGTCCCCCAAGCCACGTACAGACTCCGGCGCGCTCGAGCTAGTGCCGGCGCCAGCCTTGGGTTCTTCATGTCCCAGCGCCCGTTGAGCCACTCGATCGTGGTGTTGCTGTCTCCCTCGATCTGCACCCGCATTCGTTTCGGTAGCGATGAAACGGAACCCGGCGCAGTATTAAGGGCTGTCGCCGCTGGGGCCTGGAAGGCAGGCTGGGCATACGGGGGAACTTGACGAGGACACGGTTGCTGAGCATGTCTCGACTGCCATCGGACCCGTTCTTCACGCCAGCGCTGCACAGGAAGTCCCCAACCCTCAAAGCCAGCCTTCACGAACTCCTCCCTCCGTTCTGCCCAGACTGGCTGGGCAGCATCCTCACGCCATCCAGGTCCCGCAGCAGAGGAGAAGGAGGAGGAGGAGGAGGAGGAGGAGGAGGAGGAAGTGCATCCTTTGTGTGCCCGCTCGAAGAAAGTGCGCCCCGGGATTGTGATATTCTTGTTTTGGGGGGTTTGTGTCGTCCCCCCCACTTCCCATATTTCGTATATTTTCGAGGGAATCGACGATCAGTCGTGCCTGTGTGTTTTTTCCCCTCCTGGCAGAAAAACCAAGCCGTGCCGCCCCGCCCGCGCGCCGAGGGCGAGGCGCCGCCGCCGAGTGTTTCCCCGGGCCGCCGGCGATGCGATATGGCTTCGGTCGGGCGGGGCGAGGGGTGAGGAGCGGGTCGCGGATGTGGAGCTCGAGGCTCGAAGGTCGAGGTCTTCTGGAGCTCCTGGCCCCGCTGCGGGCCTCTAGGGGGTACCCTTGCCACCGCGGCCAGATCCGCCTCCAAACTCTAGCCAGAACGCGCTCCAGGGATAGGTCTGGTGCGATGGCTTCGGTCTGGAGGGGTGAGGGGCGGGGTTGCGGATGTCACGACAGTGGACACCCTAGCAGTCCAATCGTTGAATTTAAAAAGAAGTCGGAACCATGTTCTAAACGTGTCTCAGACATGTGCTTTACATGCTCAAAACAGATGTTTAACACATCTGGGAATAAATTGGCAACATGCTTCCTCTCCAGTGATCGTCCCCCGCAAGAGGGGGGGAGCCTCGCGTCCCTGCACCTGCACATCATCGACTTCCTCCTCCTCCTCCTCCTCCTCCCTCACCCAATCCGCCGTCGCTCCCTCCTCTTCCTCCCCCTCCTCCTCCCCCTCCTCCTCCCTCACCCAATCCGCCGTCGCTCCCTCCTCTTCCTCCCCCTCCTCCTCCCTCCTCCCCCCCAATCCGACGTCGCTCCCTCCTCTTCCTCCCCCTCCTCCTCCCCCTCCTCCTCCCTCACCCAATCCGCCGTCGCTCCCTCCTCTTCCTCCCCCTCCTCCTTCCCCTCCTCCTCCCCCTCCCCCCCAACGGTGCGATGCCCCCGGGGAGAGGGGATCCGAGGAGAGGAGCAGCACCGAGGAGCCGAGAGGAGCAGAGCGGAGACGGGAGGGCCCGAGGAGAGGAACAGAGACGGGAGGACCCGATGGGAGGAGGGAGGAGGAGGAGGAGGAGGAGGAGGAGGAGGAGGAGGAGGAGGAGGAGGAGGAGGAGGAGGAGGAGGAGGAGGAGGGGGAGGAGGGAGGAGGGAGGAGGGAGGAGGGAGGAGGGAGGAGGGAGGAGGGAGGAGGAGGAGGGAGGAGGAGGGAGGGGGAGGGGGAGGGGCAGGGGGAGGGGGCAGGCAGGAACAGAGACGAGAGGATCCGAGGAGAAGACCCGGGGGAGAGGACTGCAGGAGGCGAGAGGAGACCTGGTCTCGACTGCGGCGACTGGGACCTCGGGCCCCTGGCAGCGAGCCCACAAAAAGGACGTACGCGCACAGCCACGCACACGAACACGCCCCCCCCCCCACCCGGGCCCGCGAGGATCTATCGCTCGCGCAAAGCGCACGCTCGAACCCATCGCGGGTTCGTGTACTCAGGACTTCGCAAGTACGAGGGGGTCGGCCTGAGTTGGGAGGGGCTCTGATTTGAGCTGCCTTGGAGGGTTTCGGGGGGTCTGGGCAAAAGGCCGCCCTCCCATGGCTTGCCTGGGGGGGGGGTCTGAACTTGCCCGTCTAGGCGGGTTGTGGCCCCCTCCCTCTTATCGCGAAGTCTGGAGTACGTGTGATTCCTTCAGGGGGAAGCGGCAGCGGCAAGATAGGGCTACATCACAAATGTGCGGCATCGCACCGTACTGGCACCCCGTCGGTTCCGAGGGCAATAAAAATGCTCGGGGCCATTGGGCGAGCAGCCGCGTCCAAAACGCCCCAAAAGCGCAAAAAGAGTGTCCGGTGGCAAACTTCCCTGCCGACTCCGAAGCACGAGCTTGAGCACGAGCTTGACTACCGTGTGCCATAGATTTCTGCCAGACTCCGTGCAAAGTCAGACCTGAGCCAGCAGAACATCCCTCAAGAACACGAGGGCCTCCGTCGGCCAAAACAAAACAGAACATCCAAGGGTGCCCCTCCCCAGGATGCACAAGACCATCCAACAAACACGAAGACCACTGGGGCACCCTCCCCGAACCGACCTCGATCCTATATACCTCGGTCCGCAACCGAATGTGGTTTTTGGGTCAGAACTCGGGCCTCCAGCGGCCGTTCGGGACGATCCCGGCACCCCTGGAACGCTCGCTGCGAGGCGCAGCCGCTGGAACGCCCCCCGAGGATGGAAAACCGCCGAGGGCCGACGGAAACGTCTGAAAACCTCGAGCCCCGAGCCCGAAAACCTTCCCCCGACCGGTCCGACCGCGCGTCTCTCTTTCGCTCCCGACCTCGCGGGAGGGCCCACCCGCGCCCTGGGCCCGGCCCCCTCGCGGGAGGGCCCCCCCGGAAGAATCCCCCCGCCTCTCGGTGCCGACCCAGGGCCGCCCGCCGCCGGGGCCGGGCGGTCCCTGCCGCCGCCGCGGGGGGGGGAAAAAGGGCGGGGGGACCGCATGCGAACCCTACTCCAGATTTCGTAATAAAAAGGGAGGGGGTCTGGACCCTCCAGGACAAGCCATTTCAGGCCTCCCCCGTGGGAGAACCCTCCAAAACATCGTCCCCAGACCCCCCAGGCCCTCCAAGATAGCCTGGAAGAGACCCCCCCCCGAAATGAGACCCCCCTCCCTTTATTACGAAATCTGGAGTACCCCTGCCCCCCACGATTTCTGAGGGGGAGGGTGGGGTCCACTTCGTTCGGGAGGTCGCGAGCTAGGTGAAACCCCCGCCCCCCCTCACAAGATCGTGGGCGGTGTGGGTTGGATCCGCACGCGGCCCCCGAAGGGCGGGGGGGAGGGGCGCGGAGTGGCCTCGGCGCGGCCCTCCTCTTTCACGAGCTCCTCGGCGCCCCGGCCAAGAGTTGCAAACGCACCGAACAACGCAACGTACACCGCTGCTCAGAGTTAGGACAGTTTTAGGGCCTAACATGATTCGACCCAGTATGCTCATCAATCAGTTCATCAACTTGTCGTTCAACGAACAATTTTTTTCCAACAATCAATTCCTGCCTGGTTGAACCAAAGGCCTGGCCCAGACAGAAGCACGAGGCATGGACTTCGCTCGAAAAGTTTTCCCAAGCAGTAATGCAGGTCCACATGTACGAACATGCTACGAAGAAAGAGTTCCAACACAACGCCCAGGGCACAGTCCAGAGCCTCGATGTTCTTGAACGAAATCTGGGGTCCACGAAAACGGATGCTTTTCTTGGGACTGCTGACGGGTGGGAATAACTGAGGTTGTTTGCCCGTCTCGGCCTCTGGAGGCCCTCGCCGGGCCCCGGGCCCGTTCAACAAGACGACTCAAGATGAGAAACCGGCCCCCTGGGGAGAGGGCAGGGAAGCCCATACTCGAATCGATACGTCGGATCGGCGATCGAAATCTGTCGGATCGGCGGAAATCAGCAGCCGAGTCGGGCACAGTGGAATCGGTAGACATCGGCATGCTAGCAGGCCTGCGTTGATAAATCGGATCCCAAATCGGAATCCGACGTCGAATCGAGTCGGAATCGAGAGTTTTAAAGTCGAGCCGAATCAAATCGGAAAAACCAAATGGAACCCTGAGAGGGGCGGGTCTTGTGGCGGCCCCGCATGGGCAAAATTCGCGAGGTGAGACTTTTCCGTGCCCTGCGGGCGCCCAAGGGGGGGAGGGGGGCAGAGCGCGAGCGGCAGGAAAAGCAAGAAGCAGGATATGGCTTGGGGGGGGGGAGGGGGGAGGGGGGGAGGGCGGGGGGGGGGGGGGCGTGAGGGGAGTGGGGGGGGGGGGCGGGTGGAGGGGCAGGGGGGGAGGGCGGAGGGAAGGGACGGGGGGGAAAAAGGGGAGCGGAGGGGGGAGGGCGAGCGGGAGGGGAGGGGGACAATGAAAGGGTTGCGCGGGGAGGGCAAAACCCCGATCGCCCCAAAGAGGCACGTGCGGGGTGAGCATCGGGAGGGGTCGGGAAAGAGGGGGGGGGGGCATGGGAAGCAGCGTGGGGGCGCCCGCCAGCCCCCCGAACCCCCCCGCCCCCCCAACCTGCACTGCCCCTCTCTCTTTCTCTTTCTTTCTTTCTTTCTCTCTCTCTCTCTCTCTCTCTCTCTCTCGCACCCCAAGGAGCGGCCACGGTCGGTCGGGGCCGACCGCGGACGCCCGAACGCGCGCGCGAGGCCGCGCAGCCCTCACGACTGCAGGCCTGGCTTTAGGAGGGCCACCGAGCCTACCGCACGGCACGGCCAGCTCGCAAGCTGAGCCGCGCCGCTCTCGCATCAGATCACTGCTCTCTATTGGCCGCCACACCTTCTCCCCCCTCGGGTGGCCGCCCGCGCGCGGAACAACGACCCCCCCCCACGCCGCCCGTCAAAGTAACGGAAGTTCTCTTGCGCAGATTATCGGGCTTTTGGAGGTGCTGCGGGACGAAACAAAGACACTGCTCGAAACGTAAAAAACACACATCCATATCTCAAAACCAAAACACTAAAACACTATATGTCTGTGGTTTTTAGTGTTATGGGAACCTAAAAGGGGGGAAGGCGTATCTTTGCGTGTGAGGCCCATTTGCCTTTCCGCGATGGCATATGGCGGCGGTGGGTTGCCGCCGGCGTCTTCGACACTGCTCCGCCTCCATAGCATCATCGCCCCCATCCTCCGATAGGTTTGTCTCCTGGTCCTCGCCCTCCTCCTCCTCCTCCTCGCCCTTACCTGTTGACGTTGCGCGAACTGAAGCAAGAGTGCTGTAGCGTTAGACCCAGGGGAAAACTCAAGATGCCGACTTAGACGACAAGGGCCAACGAATCGAGCCGGGCAGGCGTAGCGGGACAAGAAAGGCAAAATAGGCAATGGTGAAAATGCCAGCCCTAGCGGGCGCAAGACATACGCTTGCCAGACAGGAGCTGGAGAGGCAAGGAAACACCCATCATAACAATCCTCACATCACCCTCACCCTCGCGCCTCTCCCTCCTGCTCCTCGAACGTATCCGCGGAATCCTGTGATCATCCCCTCGATGCCCTGGGGCGCCCAACTTGATGCCTAACGGTCGCCAGCACCTGTTGGAACTCCTGTGCAGCTACTCTCCCCTCTGAATTTCTAGGCAGCGTTTAAATTGCATCGTATAAACAAAAGCCAGGACGATGGGACGGATACGTTCACGTCGAGAATGCCTCTTCCTCCTGCTCCTCCCGGCCCTGCTCATCCACTTCGTCCTCATCGTTCGTGTCCGCTTCCTGGCCCGTCTGGCAAGGCCCCCTGCCCCATACCCCTCCAACGGCGGCGGGGCCCGAGCTTTGCGCCCTTTTCTCCTGGCGCACGGATCCGGGGGATGGGGCGGCGGGAGCAGCATCGGCGGCAGTACAGTCGGATCTAGGCAGGAAGAGCGCTCCAAGAATGCTCCACTGGCCGTCGCTCGGACGTCCATTTCCCGTGCATGTTTCGGTTTCGTGCGTGTTTTTGTTTGCTCGATGGTCCAGGATGGTCCTCGGTGGTTCTCGCCGAGAAAAAATGCACACGTCCGAGCGATGCCAAGTCCAACAACGCAGGACAACTGTTTTGCGGAAAAGTTCCCTGCCGACTCCCCAACACGAATTTGACGACAGTGTGGGACAGATGTTTGCCAGATTCCGTGAACAGTTGGACCTAATCCAGAATATCATCCCTCAAGAACATGAGAGCCTCCGTCGGCCAAAACACAACAGAACATCCAAGGGAACCCTCCCCAGGATGCACAGGAACATCAAACTCACACGAAGAATGCTAAGGCACCCTCCCCAAACCGACCTCGATTTTATACATCGGTCCGAGTGTAGGAACAGGAAATGGTGGAGGCCACAAGTTTTCGTTACGACTGCGGCGAAATCCCACCAGCCCTCTGGGCGTGACTGGTCTGACGAGCTGGTTTTGCTCAATCCTTTCTAAGGAATCGAACTCTATACACCGACGCTTTATCTGGCCCTGCATCAGAATTTGCACTGGAGAGCGGATCTTGGTGTATACGGGACCCTGGTGTATACATTTTCGGTTGTTTCCCCGGGACATCGGGGAACAGAAATATACACCGCACCACCCAAGCGTCGTCCTCGACCCTGAAAAAAGCCCTGGGATAGAAAAACAGCCCGCCACTGGTAATGTATACGTTCCAGTTTCCGAAGCGGTCTTCCCCCTCGAGGAGGGGGTCCCCCCTTCCCCATGCCCCCCCCCCCCCTCTGGGCCTGGGCACCCTCCATCCCCACCCACGAGGGGTCAGAGGGAACGCGTTGGCCCCAGGTGTCTCCGAGAAGGCCCCGGAGAGCCCAGGATGGATTTTCATTCGGCTCGCTCAGTGCCCCAAGATGGTTCACGATAGCTTCCAATGTGCCTCCAAGAGCCCTCAAGATCGCCCCAGGACGGCTCCAAATGCCCTTCTAGCCTCCTGGGGATGCCTCCGAGGCCAGATACATTCAAACCCAATGCAAGATAGCCCAAAAGGGCCCAAAGAGTTCCAGGATGGACCAAACACTGCCCCAAGAGCGCCCCAAGAGGCCAGTATTCGGTCTAAGGAGGGGGGGTAGTTGAGAATCCCCCCTTCTCTGACCGATGGCTTCCAAGATGACCCCGAGAGTGCCCCCAAGGCCCCCGAGAGGGCCCCAAGAGAGCTCCAAGTGAGCCCGAAAAGGGCCCCAAGAGATCCCCAAAAGGGCGCAAGAGGCCTCCAAATAGTTTGCAAGAGGCCTCCAAAATGCTTCTAGATCAAACGATCTGCAAAGGCCTTGCTGGTTGACGTCGGCGTCGTCGTCGTCGTCGGCATCGTCGTCGTCGTCGTCGCGGTCGTCGTCGCCGTCGTCGTCGTCGTCGTCGTCGTCGCCGTTGTGGTCGTCATTCCGCGCTTCCCGCGGCTGCCTTGAGTGTGTGGTTGCCTGTCGTCTCTGCTGGCTAGATGACGAGCGCGCGCGTCGTCGGTGTTCGCGCGCCCACAGCGACGCACGCACGGCGAACAACGACATGCAACCACGCTACCATGCCATCCCCAAGCGTGCACGACGTAATACGGGCACCGCAAACACAACCATTTCACCAAGAGGTTACATACCCCTGGTCACGGCAACCCGTCTGGCGTCTATTTTGGGGTGCGTTGGTGGGGATACGCGAAGCATCAATCATTCCACTGTCTGGGAGATGGCGTGAAGGAGCAGGATGGGGCCGCATAGTGGTGAGAGGGAAGAGGGCAAAGAACAATGTCCTTTCGTGACGCCCGTGTGTTTGGTGGTGGTCAAATTTCGGTTCGACCAATTGCAAGTTTCCGTTGCCCCCCCTGTGGTCACCTCCCCGCCCTCGCCTTCGCCTTCCTCGCCCTCGTTGTCGTCCTCGCCCTCGTCATCGTCGCCCTCGTCCCTCCTAGGAGCGGGGAGAAAATTCTAACAGTCAAATATCCGCACGGTCGTTGGTGTGTTGTTGCGTTTGTGTGCTGATAGCAGCAGATTGAATGCATCAGGCGTGACGCCATGAGCCTGCGGTCTGCAAGCTATGGCCTTGACAACTACGCGGTGGCGCTGCAATGTCCTCCTAACACTCCTCCTGCCACCCTGATGAACTAACCAGATGGGCGGACGCATACCACGCTGCCACATGGCTGAATGCCGCATGGCTGCCAGATCGCAGACCGCATTGCCATGACCTCTGTTCAAGCATCTCTACCTTGCACATTTCCTTTCCAGCTCTGACGACCGTCATCCGTGCTGAACGATGCACAACGCACCCCCCCACAATCAAATTCTCTACACGCCACTGAAAAAACCGCTGTAGGGGAACGACCTCTTCCGGTGATAGAAACCCGATATGTGACGTCTGGGCAAATGTGTGCCGACTTCGCAAGGCCCCGTGACCCCAGCAGGGGGAACGCGGGTCCTGAGGGAAACGGGCCCTAGACCCTGGGGCCCTCCCCCAGAGGACCACTTGTTTATTCAGAGTCGTTCCTCATAGTCTCGGGTCGGGCGAAAAGGGGGGATAACAAAGGGGGGGTTTGAGAATCAGCTCGCGTAGCTGATTTTCGCGGCGCCTCCCGGCGCCGGGAGGCGCCCATGTATCGAGGAATGGGCCCCTCGGTGAAGCCGAACCAGCTGCATGCAGCAAATTTCGTAAACCCCCCTTTCCCACCCCCCCCCCCTTTCGCCCGACCCGACAAGAGGGCCCCAAGACGGCCCGAGAGGCCTCGAGTCGGCCGAGCGCGGGCCCCCACGACGGCCCAAGACGGCACCCCCAAGAGGTCCACACGTCGGCCGAGAGGGGCGCCCAAGACGGCCGCCGACGCCACGAGCCCGAAGACGGTGAAGAGCCTGAAGGCCCCCCCCTTTCGCCCGGCCCGATAGTCCCAGGGCCCGTGGAGGGCCCCACGAGCCCGAAGACGGTGAGGAGCCCGAAGGCCCGTTTCCCTGCCCGCGGCGGCGCGGACAACGGGTCCTTTAAGGAATGAGCAGGTACGCCTGTTGGGCATCGTGCCCGTTCTTTCCGTACCCATTTCGATCGCCCTGGAGGAATTGGGCGCCCGAGTTATCCGGGGTAACTCGGGTCCGGGGTAACTCGGGCTTGGATTCCCGAAAAAGGAACCCGAGTTACCCCTGACCCGAGTTACCCCTGATGATTCGGGGCTCTGGACGCCCGAGTTATCTGGGGTAACTCGGGTCCGGGGTAACTCGAGTTTGGATTCCCGAGAAACGAACCCGAGTTATCCCTGACCCGAGTTACCCCTGATGACTCGGGGCTCTGAAGGAACACTGTACGGAAAACGACCTCATTTGCCGAACGAAACCAAATCAATTTGATTTTTGGGCAGATGTGTGCCGACTTCGTGACGCCTCGTGATCGTGGGAGGTGTGGCGGGGCGCCGGGGGCATCCGCGGCGGGCCGCGCCGGGGCCTGCTTGCAGCCTTCTTGACCCTGCGGCGAGGCGGCTGCCATCACGGGGTGGGGGGGTGGGCGGGACGGGAGAAGATTGTGCGAGGGGAGCGGACGGACAAAAACAGGCAAGAACGAACACACTCGCAAGAACGCAGAATCCGGTCAAGAGAACCCACCCTCCGAATGGCCGTGTTCCGCCCTCGGGGTGAGGGCGCTCCCGCTTGACGCTCAAATCCAATCCAGCGAACGATTCGCCTGGATGGACGAGACGGAAAGAAAACGGAGGGGGGGGACGCGGACGGGAGAAGCAAGTAGACACACACTATGCGCGCTCGCGCCATGTCTGCCATCCGGCCGCTCTCATTCATCCCTCCCCGTTGGGCTGTGCTATATGTGTGCGCGTGTGAATGTATGTATCTGTATGGAAGTATGTACATATATACATATATATGTATACACTAGACCCCGTCCGTAACATGATCAAACCTGTATGCATGTACGCACATGGTCGAACATGACAGGGCCCTGATATGAAGAGGTAACACGAAAGCGGGCCGAACATTACCGTCAGAGGTTCGCACCAGCATCTTCAACGCGACGCAGAAGCAGCGCGACATCGCGAAACGAAAATAAAGCTTTGCATTTGCAGTGGAAACCAGTACGCTTTATCATCGTAAGCCAGTGTCACAACAACCATGTCGTAACGCAAGGAAGCTCAAACCTGTTCAAGGAAAGCGTAGCAAAGCAACTGCACGGAAATGCAACGCAGTGCAACTCAGGACGCCTCTAATCGATTTCAAGGAATACGTTGGTAAGCAAATCTTACAAATGCAATGCGAAGCCATACGCTGCGAACGACCGCAAATATATTCAATGAACCCGACAAGACAGGGAAAATGGAGTTCGGATTGCGCAAGGACGGAACATCCGACGAACGAGCCAAGGGAACCTGGGCTGGAGGTCGTAAGTGCCACCAGGTCCCCTGCACAGAGAAAGGGCTAGAGAGGGAAGGGAAGGACATGGAATGACAGCGGGAGAAGCGAGAATACGGGCCGCAGCAGGGATAAGAGAAGTGTCGAGCAAGGAGACGGCGGACGGAGAAACATAGGGAGGGGGGAAGGAGAGCGGGATGGAGGAGCAAGGAGGAAGGCGAGAAGAGGTGGCAAGACAAAAAAAAATAATCGACGAGGGAGTAACTATATGAGGGACGGAAGAAAGAAGAGGCCCTTTATGGGGCTTTCGTGGGCTCGTGAGGCCGTATCTAAAATAGACGTTGGAACTGAATTCCATGGGTGTGTCTGGTTTGGGCCAGCAGAAAGACCTGTGGTGACTCTCAAATGGCCCGTTGGGTGGCGCACCTTGGGAATCGCTAGGACCTCTTCCCAAAGGACCCAGAGTCGCCGGAATATTGCCGCAAGACTGCCAAAATGGCCTCCAGACGGCCCAAGACGTCTCCAAGACGCCCCAGGAGGCCTCCGAGAGCACTGCCAAGAGGGCCCCAAGAGCCACAACTCATTGAGTGTTCCGTAGTTGTTGGCACTGTTTAGCATTTCTGCCGTTTCGGCTTCCACACTCCAACACGGTCCACGAGGCCCCAAATATCGGACCAAGACGGTCTGCGAGGCCGTCAAGAGGGCGTTGAAACGGCCCAAACGGCCTCCAAGACGGCCCAAACGGTGGGCCGTAAGCCACTCGATAATCTAAGAACGGCCTGCAATCGCCCGAGCAAGCCCTCAAAAGTATCATGCCAGAAACCTTCGGTATGACACTGTTGCAGGCTGGTTCGGCAGGCCTCATAGGGCCCCCTTCCTTCAGCCTTTTAGGAACTCTTCGTGCCTTTTGGGGCCCCTCTTCAAGCCTCCTAGGACTATTCGCAGAAAGCCTGGAGAACGCTCCAAGAAGTCTACAAGAGAGCCTGGAAAGAGTTCCAAGAGGGTTCCCAGAATGTCCCAACCAGTATCATACCAAGGCACGGTGGCGGGATGGGCCGTTGGACACCAGAACAAGCCGGAGGGGCCTGGAACAACCCAAACGCCCCAAGAGAGCCCCCAGAGGGCCCCCACAGAATTCTCGAAGAGACGACCAGGCTCGCCTCCCAGATGGTCAGGATGGCGCTGCATTACCGCCAAGACGATCCAATATGCATAAAAGACCGCGATGATCACCCCCTATCTGACCGAAGATGGCAGCAAAATAACTCCAAGACGGTCTTAGATGGCGGCAAGAGGCCGCCACGAAACCTGAGGACGCTCCCAGAGCTCCGAAAAGCTTCCCAAAAGGACTCTTCCTCCTCTTCCTCCTTCGTCCCCTCCTCGTTCTCCATTCATTTTCCTTTTGAACAACTTCTCCCTGTCGCACACCGAGGCCAATGTTTCGGGTGGGCTGGGCGATTCGCCGGAGACTTCCCCACCATGGATGACCCTTAGGCTTACACATTGGCAACAGCTTCACAGATGGAGGGCGGGTCGTTTTCAAAATGTGGCTCTCGCCTTAACGCCGCGCACATTCGTTCCAAACATTTGCCACAGTTTTGCGGATTGGAAACAATCAATTTTCAAAATGTGGTTCTCGCCTTAGTTCGGCGCACACTCGATTTAAACAATTGCAAGAGCTTCACGGGTTGAGGGCAGTTCCTTTTCAAAATGTGGCTCTCACCTTAGCGCCGCGCACATTCGAATTTTTTAGTTGCAAGAATTTCACGGATTCCCATGCTCAGTGTACCAGAAATGGCGTTCTGGAAAGATTCAGGATCATGAAAATGGATTCCTGGTGTCGAAGTCACAGGAATGGCGTTCTGGCACGATGCAGGATAATCAAGACGCAACAGTCAGGTTGAACCGTGGCGTTGAAATCCCGAGAACAATGTTTTGGCATGCTTCAGGGTCTTCAAACGGTTGTCTTCCAACGAGGCAGTTCCCTCAATGGAAATGAACCGATGTGGGGGCCTATGAAGAGGGAACGCGGAGGGAGGGTTTATTCCGACATCGTTGATGACTCTTGGGCTTACACTGGTCCTCCTCCTCCTCCTCCTCCTGCTCCTCCCCTCCTCTTCCTCGTCCTCCTCCTCCTCCTCCTCCTCCTCCTCCTCCTCCTCCTCCTCCTCCTCCTCCTCCTCCTCCTCTCATCATCATCATCATCATCATCATCATCATCAGCATCAGCATCATCATCATCATCATCATCATCATCATCATCATCATCATCATCATCATCATCATCATCATCATCATCCCTCTTCTCCTCCCTGTCCTGATTCCCCGTTGCTTCCTCTCCCGGCGGATGCGAGATCACATAGACAGATAGCTTGGCCCAACTGTGCTGCTCGTCATACGCTCTTCGGGCCGTCTCGTCCCAACCTTCCCGGATACATCTGGCTGTCAGCATCATGAAGGGGGTCTTCTTCCAGGGTCGGCGGCACTGGCCATGAGGCCTTCACCATGTGGATTGGCCCGAATGGCGCGGCAACGTGTATGTGATTGGGATGTGTTGCGAGCCCTCGGCCAACGTTACACATCAGACTCGCGAGTGCTCAATAATGGGAGTGCATGTTTGTGGCCTCCTCATGGCTGCGTCTATGAAAATTTGCGCCCGACATCTCGCCGACATCTGAAACAATCGGGTCCGTCGAGTTGCCGAGGAAAAATCCGTCATCGAACCTGATGTTGTTTTCGTCAGCTTCAGAACGGATATCGTGGTCCTGGTGCATGCTGCGATTCCCTGTCGGAAGGAAGAGGAGGGGGAGAAAGAGGAGGAGGAGGAGGAGGAGGAGGAGGAGGAGGAGAAGGAGGAGGAGGAGGGGAAGGAGGGAGGAGGAGGAGGAGGAGGAGGAGGAGGAGGAGGAGGAGGAGGAGGAGGAGACGGAGGAGGGGCCGCTTTGGGGGGACGAGGGTCGCCATCGCGCCCTCGAAGCCTGCGTTCCCCTACTGGGGGCTCGAAGACAGTGTCCCCGACGCCGGCCAAAGCGAGAGCGAACAGCCTCATGGCTGTGGGGAGCACAACGGGAAACGATCGGTCCGTGGAGCAGCCCCCAAAAAACGCTACTCCAGATTTCGTAATAAAGGGAGGGGGGTCTCATTTCGGGGGGGGGGTCTCTTCCAGGCTATCCTGGAGGGCGGGGGGGGTCTGGGGACGATGTGTTGGAGGTTCTCCCACGGGGGAGGTCTGAAATGGCCTGTCTTGGAGGGTCCAGACCCCCTCCCTTTTATTACGAAATCTGGAGTACGCGGCCAACTGGAAACGATGAAGATCAGAATCCTCCCTCCTCGTCCTCCTCCTCCTCCTCCTCCTCCTCCTCCTCGTCCTCGTCCTCGTCCTCGTCCTCGTCCTCCTCGTCCTCCTCCTCCTCCTCGTCCTCCTCCTCCTCCTCCTCCTCCTCCTCCTCCTCCTCCTGATGGCACGGTGCTCTTCTCCTCACTTCGCGGCGAACGCGGGGTGGTCCGGGAGTCCGAACAGGCGGCGGGGCGGGTACGACGGGCGCCCTTCGAGCATGGGGAGGGGGATGGAAGGACCGGGGGGTTCGAGGGAAGCGCGCTGAAGGAAGAGGGAAAGGGATGTGACCGAAGAGGGGGAAAAAGATGGGAGAGGGAGCGATGGAAAGAGAGAGAGAGAGAGGGCGAGCGGAAAACGAGTATCTATATATATATATATATAGAGAGAGAGGGAGAGAGAGAGAGAGAAAGAGAGAGGGAGAAACAAAAAGAGAGAAAGAGAGAGAGAGAGAATCAGAGAGAGAGAGAGACAAAAAAAAGAAACCACAAGAAACGAGCGAGGGCGCGAGATGGGACACGGAACAATAGACAATGGGGAAAACAGAAGGGGAGGACGAGAGGGGGAGGGAGTGGAGGAGCAGGGGGAAAGGGAATTGATGGGAAGCGGATTGAGAGAGGCGAGGAGAACTCCCTTCCTCGATTGCCCCCGTCCCATTCCTCACTTCCCCATCCGGTCCCTGTCTGGCTCCTGGCGGCGACGGCAAGCGCCGCAACCCATGCCCCTCCTCTCGCCACGGGGAGGGGCAGAACGACGAGGAAGAGAAGGAAGTATAGGGAACCAAGGACGTACAG